AGTCTTTGTACTCAAGAGAATCCACAACATGTGATGCTCTAATGGAGAGGCGTACCCTCTTCGGATTCAAAGTTGGAAGGCTTTGGTCATTTAATTTGAATCAAACTAGTGCTTTTCAGCCACAGTATCTTCACTCTGGCATAAGCAGTCTTCTTCACAATGTATTTTTAATAGCCTCACATTCAATTTTAAGACAAAGCAATTTTAATACTAGGTGCATGCCACAGGCCCTTGCTGCAAGCGGCTTCTCTTGACAAGTTGGGAAGTAGTTCAAGGAGGTGTGGTTAAGGCTTATCACTGAATAGTGCTGTTAAGTACTACACAATTTATTTTGTCATGTTGCAGCCTTCTGTTTCCAATTTTCTAGTGACTGCCGCTACGAAATCTGAAACCAAAAATGACCACATTATTAGGTTTGTTTTGGACTATGATTTAGTAGCAATTGAGGTTCCTGATTTTAACCCCTTGGCAACAAGACCCAAGCTCTCTCATTTGCACGTTAACACCTAAGTGTCAAGGGGTGAAATAACCAGGACGAAAGAGACTGCACTTCCGTTGTAGCATTTGACAGAACGGAAAGGAAAGGAAGCTGTGCTGTGCGTTGAAGGGGTTGTGGGCAACATAAAGACGACACCAGGAAAAGATGCAATGTCACATGACATTTTCATAGTCTTGTGCGTACCCTGCATCATCACCACCACAATCTAGCAGTTCATTTATCCTGGTGGCTTTTAATCTCCCTGCAGGAACCACACCTTTGTTCTTCTTTTTGGCTTGGCTTTGCTTGCTTCTGTTTTTCACTTCAAAGCACAATGTATCGGGAACCTTTTTCAAGTTATCAGTATCTCAGTTGGAGATACTAAAAATTTGGCATAATATGGTCACTTTTTATTTTGTGTAATTTTGTGTAATTTTACCTTTTACTAACTTTCCAAACTCTGTAAGGTCATCCCTTGAAGATGGGTTTATAGCATCTGTTCCATATGCAGTAGTCTTAACACCAAAAGTTGCCTTTGCTAATTCCTGTGATTTCTCCAGCTGCAGTTTATCTGCTAATTGTTCCTCTGGTGTTAGCACCTGGAGTTCTTCAGGTTCTTCTAACCCCTTTTCCTCCTGCCCTTTCTTCTGTTGCCGTTCTTTCTCTTTTATCTTCTCTGCTAGTTTTTTCTTTTCTAAAATGTTTATTTCTGCTTCCTCTTTTTTCTTTTTCCTGTCATCACCATCATCCCAGTTATCCTAGACATCCTCATCCTCGTCCTCTTCCTCGCCTTTGCGGCGGTCCCCCACCTCCTTCACGGGGCTTCCACGGAGAATTTTTCTGCACCCCAGGAGTCAGAGTTCCTCTGCCACTGCCAGAATTAAAAAACAAGCAAACGAACAACAAAACAAAAATAATTTTCTCTCTCTCAAGGAGTCTGGTCTTCTGAAAGTCAAAAATTTTTTTTTAGCTATTTAGAATATTATCTCCGCTGCAATTTTCCCCTAACATTATATTATGTAAATTTTCAAACATACAACAAAGTTGAAAGAATTTTTACAGTGAATACCATATATTTATCTCTAAGATTTTGTCATTAACATTTTAATATTTGTTTTAATTCACATCTATATATCTATTTTTGCCTCTATCTGTCCATTAGTTCATGTTATTTTTCATGTGCTTTCAAGAAATTTGCAGGTAGTGCTTCCTCCTAAATACTTTAGCATGCATATCATTAACAAGGGTTTAATAGTTGTTTTAAAATCCTAGTTTTACTGTACAATTTACATTGATTGAAATGCACAAATCTGAGGTGTATGTTCTTTGAGTTTTGACAATTGCATATACCAGTATGACCCAAATCCCTATCAAGATATACATTACTGTTATTCCAGAAAGTTCTCTCATGCCCCTTTCCTGTCTAAAGCACTGCTATAGTTTCTTTTTTGTAGTATCTCGTATTTTTAATGCACAATTCTATGAAATTAGAACAATTTGTAAAAAATTAGATATTCTTTGTTTCTTTTTAGAATTAATAACCATAATTTTTAACAGCTAAGTTTGGTTCTTATCAAAATTGGGTGGAAAGAACAGGAAGTTCCATGTGCCTCTTCTCCAAACCCCTACAGCCTCCCCTCCCCTACCATCAACATATGCACCAGAGTAGTCCATTTCCTACAGTCCAAGAACCTACAGTGACTTACTATTATCATCCAAAGTTCATAATAAACACTAGGATTCACTCTTGGTGGTGTGCGTTCTATGGGTTTTAACAAATGTACGAGGACACGTATTCACCAGTATAGTATCACACAGAATAGTTTCACTGACCTGAAAATCCTGTGTGCTCCCTATTCACCCCTTCCTACTTCCTAATCTCTCGCAACGACTGATGATTTCGCTGTTTCCATAGTTTTGCCTTTTCCAGAAAGATATATAGTTGGAATACAGTATGTAGCCTGGATTCTTTCATTAGTAATACACATTTAAGTTCCCTTCATATCTTTTCATGACTTGAGAACTCATTTCTTTTTAGTGCTGAATAATATTTCATTGGCTAGCTTTACTACATTTATTTATCCATTCACCTACTGAAGGACTTCTTGATTACTTCCAAGTTTGGGCAATTATGAATACAGCTGTTATAAATGTTAGTGTGCAGATTGTGGAGTCCTAATTGGGGAGGGGTAGTCAGACTGGCAGGATGGAGGGAAAGCAAAAAAAGAAAGCAGATAAGCAATGAGTTTGCCTTTCTTCATGGTCCAAGACACACAGTTTTCCTGCACAAATAACTTACAATCTTCCTGCACCCAGCTATCACCAGACCCTTGGCTGATAGAAAAATGCAAATGAGTTCACTGCAATTTTGGCATTATCAGTACTGCACAAAGCCCACTTCAGCACCCAGCACAAACACCATTCCGTAAAATCTGCAGTAAGCTTTTTTCTCCTGGCAGTCAGCTCCTCTCTTGCTGACCTGCCTGTTGCGTCCTTGCAACGTATTTTCCTACTTTCTTTAATAAATCTGCCTTTCTTTACCTACAATTGCCTTGGTAAATTCTCACCACTCACCATGATACAGGTTTTTGTGTGGACACAGTTTTCAATTCATCTGGGTAAATACTAATGAGTGGCATTGCTGGATTGTGTGGTAAGAGTATGTTAAGATTTATGTTTTTAAAAACTGCCAAACTGTCTTCCAAAAAGATTGTACCATTTTGCATTCCCACCAGTGATAAATGAGACTTTCTTTCCTCCATATCCTCACCAATATTTGGGGTTGTTGGTGTTTTGGATTTTGGCCATCATGGTATGTGTGTAGTGGTATCTCATTGTTTTCATTGGCATCTCCATGATGAAATATGACATGGAGTATGCAAATCTATGCCACCCATAGATTTGCTAAAGTGTCTGTTTAAGTCAATTGTCCATTATGTAATTGGGTTGTTCTTCTTATGGCTGAATTTTGAGAGTTCTTTTTATATTTTCTTTTTTTTTTTGAGATGGAGTTTCACTCTTGTTGCCCAGGCTGGAATGCAGTGGCACTGTCTCGGCTCACTGCAACCTCCACCTCCCGAGTTCAAGCTATTCTCCTGCCACTGTTTTATAGTAACAAAAAACCAAAACAGTCTGTTCACTGCATTTCCAGTGGCTCCTTTACCTGAAAATCTACCTCTTGACCAGCTTCATCTCCCAGCACCTGGACCCAGTGACTTTTACTGGGTCTGTTAACTACAGGGTCTTTTCTCAGGGTTGCTGATGTGCTAGTCTCTGCTAAGATGCTCACCTCTTCATCTTTCCTTATTGACTAGCTGCTCTAGCCATCTGCTTTAACTTCTTTTTGGAAGCCCTCCCTTATCACCTCACTCTCCCTAACAGTTCAGCTCTTTGAGGTCAGGGTCTGTCTCTTCCACGGTGGTGATGACCAGCACGCAGTGGGTGTTGTATATAAATTCTAGTTGTATCAAATATAAGCCCCAACCTGCACAAGGGATTTAGCCTGGGAACCTCCCCAAATCTTCTTGCTATGCCTGGTGACTTTTATTACAATACCCAAAGAATTTCACAGATGCCACATTTGTCATTTCAGGTGAAAAAGTTTGAAATTTTAGCAACTACTCGGGAAGGGCACATGGGAGTCCAGCATGGCACGTGGTCCAATCGAGATGGACTTGGACAGAGCCTTCCAGAGGCTTTGTGAGCTGAGACTCCATTGTGCACCTGGTTACCTTTCTCTGTGATACGGAGTCTATTCATTAGACATTCTCATTTGTTCTTTATATTTCCTTCCGTTGGAACAAGAGACTTCTGAAAACACACAGGTGATGGAAGTATGGGCTGTTTAGCTAGTACAATGTGGAAAGTTTTTCTGTTTAAAAAAAAAAAAGTAGATCAGGTATTTTCAGGTAGGTTACTCTAAATGGGGCAACAGATGATCCTTTCTAGCCTCTCACCTGTCTTTTACTTTCTGAGGCCAGAGCACCATTTCCGAACCCCAGCCTCAAACCCTGAAGTTTATTCCTCATCCCTTGAGGACCCAAAACCAAACAGCCTTGCCAATGCACTAGTTCCTAACCCACCTCGACTGCAAAGTGTCCACAGGGCCTTCACCAGCAGTGGGGGAAGATGCTCCAGAAACAGGCTAAGACCTTTGCCCTGTAACTTGACTGAGATGCAACCACCTTGGGTGAAATAAACACGATCACTAAGGTCCTTTTCTAGTATTAAAATTATATGTATGTATGTTCACTTTTCTAAAAAGTGAATTTTTTTCTTTATTCAAACAATTTTCCTTTGTCCTCATAGATCATTTTCAAGTTTTGCTGCAATCAAGGATTGGGTCAGACACAGCCACTGGGCAGCTGACATGAGATCTGCACGTTTGTAAGTAGAAGACCCAGAAGGCCACCCACTCTTCCTCGTAGTGAGCCACTGGCACAGCAGGTACGGCTTAGAGCCCAATTATGTTCTTTATTACACAAAAATTCAGTGCATTAAAAATAGAAAGAAGCCCCACCACTACATTTGAAATTAAAATTTTATTTAAACAGGTAAAAATTTATACATCCTTTTAAAAACAAAAATGCAAAGTCAGTAAGTGAATCAATAATATAAACCTATTTATAGCAGTAATTAAAATAGAGGTAACAATTACCAGTGTGAAAATATCACAGAATTCAAATCACACTGGGATCTTCAATGATTCGAGTGTGTATCCGACACAGCAGGGGCTGGCAGACTGAAGATGAATTCCTCCCATGCATGCGCCATCCCCAGTCACGTCCTTCCTCACCACTGTCCACCAGCTCACACGGTGGGGTAGCTGGCTGCGGAGGCAATTCCACAATGGTTTCTCCGGTCCTTGGCCATCTTTATGTAGCCACCCATGCCCCATTCTTCACCCCAGCTGAAAAAAGAGCAGGTTTTCCATTTCAGAGAAAGAATAAAGCCCAAAGGGTTGCTAACAGGAACACCCACCTTAAACACTGTGCCAGAGGCCACAGACTTAACAGAAAGAATCAGGAGAGGCAATGTTCCTGTTTATCCTTAAAAATTCTTGAGTCTGGGCCGGGCACGGTGGCTCAAGCCTGTAATCCCAGCACTTTGGAAGGCCGAGATGGGCAAATCACTGGGTCAGGAGATCGAGACTATCCTGGCTAACACAGTGAAACCCTGTCTCTACTAAAAAATACAAAAAACTAGCCGGGTAAGGTGGTGGCGCCTATAGCCCCAGCGACTAGGGAGGCTGAGGCAGGAGAATGGCATGAACCCGGGAGGCAGAGCTTGCAGTGAGCTGAGATCCGGCCACTGCACTCCAGCCTGGGGGACAGAGCGAGACTCCGTCTCAAAAAAAAAAAAAAAAAAATTCTTGAGTCTGAACCTGGACATAAGTTCCATCCCAGCCTCAAAACTGTGACCTTTCACAGAACTGCAGATCAGAGACAGGAAAATAATAGGATGTCTTTGCAGCCAGATATGCCTCAGAATTTTAAAAATGTTCAGATTTAGACACACATTTATACAACGGAACAAATACTATATTAATACTCCCAAGATGTTTGTGACAGTATCTTACTTTTATAATCAAACATTAATATTACATGTTCAACTTAGACTTCTGGGGATTTCAGAAGTATGCCTAAGGGCATGTGGAACTGTATCCAAACGCTGTTTGCAAATAAGTATTCTCTTTTGAATTTCAAATATAACTATTTCTGGCAATTTATACCTGTTCTTCACCAGCCAATATTTACTGTTGTCTGATTCTGTGCTTTCAAATCCATAGCCAACCACCAGCACACCGTGATCCATATCTTCACTGCTACAGTCTGGCTCAAAATAAATGCCTGGGATAGCAAAACGAAGGCGGGAGTGAGGAGTTCCAGAAGACACACGACAGTAACCCATCCCGTCACCCACAGGGAATGAGGCATCTCTGAATTCAGTGAAGTGACACGCATTCCAGATAGTACTTAACAACAATAAGATCTATTGTTAGCAAGGCTAGGGATTTAAGCTCTCATTTACAACTAGCAGAAATAGAAATCAGCATAAACCCTTCATTAAAAAAAAAAAACTCTCCTAGAGGAATAAAAGACCACTCTTTGTAAGCTTGCAATTCTACTCTAGGGTATCAATCTAAAAAACTAGCACAGAGCACCAAAATCCTTGAATCAAAAGGCTCTTTTCAGATTTAATAACAGAAGTAAAAATCTTCGGAAAAATTATAAAAATTCAACAATTACGGAATATTTAAGTTTACTAAACTACACAGTAAATGACACAACTATTTACAAAAAGTTATGAAGTACTTATATTCATGGAGATATGCTCAACATAAGGTCAAATGGAAACATCAGGCCTAAATATTGCATGTACAGAATAAACAACTATGATGCTAAGCACCTAAATATCTACACTGAACTTTACAAACCAGAGTCTATCATTCTCGTATGTCATGATACTCTTTTTCTGCATCAATTTCTACAAAGAAAAAAATGCTTACCTTCTTTATAGAACATGAAGGACTCATGACCTGCATCAATAGCAACAGAAATGGGCCCCACAGTTGCAACTGCCTTCATCAGGGCCTTCTCCTGCTTAGGGATGTCCACAAAGCCGGTGTCATTAGCAACAGAATACTCGGGATTGTACTTACAGGATTCTTCCTTTCAAAGGTAAAGGGAAAAAAAAAAGACTTGATGACTGCTGTCCTCCTCCTGGAGAACACGAGTTAGAACTACAACACTCAGCAGTGTGCGGCTTAGGATTTCCAAGTCACCACTGTTGTAAATCATCCCAGGAAGTGAAATGCTCTTAGTCAATTTGAAACTGAAAATTGGCTCCGGTCTCTTCAATGAGACCCCTGGGTTTACTTCCATAAGACATTTTTCACAATAGAGAAATGTGTATATGTAGAATGGCTTGTATATTCTTCATGTTACACAGAAGCAAGAACAGCTATATGTTAACCATCTAATCACAGGATTGTGCAAAGGCTAATAATTTACAATGACAGTACTGACAATTTGCAGCTATAGATTCTGCCATCTAATATGCGAACTTTTTTCTTTTTTCTTTTTTGGAGACAGGGTCTCACTCTGTCACTCAGACTGGAGAGTGCATTTGCACAACCACCTCCTACACTCAAGCAATCGTCCTACCTCAGCCTAGCTGGGACCACAGACGCACACCACCACAGCCAGCTAATTTTCTTTGTAGTTTTGGTAGAGTCAGGGTTTTACCTTGTTGCCCAGGCTGGTCTCAAACTCCTGAGCTCAAGCCATCTACCCGGCTCAGCCTCCTAAAGTGCTGGGATTACAGGCGTGAGCCACCCCACCCAGCCCTAATACATGAATTCCAAAAAAGGTATCTGTTATCTCTGAAAGTGTTCCACCTCCCAAAAGCTGCGCTGGAATGGCGACAAGGAGCTCCACTTACTGTTGCCTCATATGGATAGGATTCCTCAGAGTCCAGGCCTCCATTGTCGGCAACATACTGGAAGGCATAATCCATCAGGCCACCATTGCAGCCCTCATTGCCTTGAGGCCCAGAGCAGTCTACCAGATTCTGCTCACTCAGTGAGACAAGCTTCCCAGTTTTCCGGAACATCTGTCCTTCAAGAGCACCAGTAGCGCTAAAAGCCCAACAAGAACCACACTGACCCTGAAGAGGGAATACAAAAAGCTGTCATTCACAAAAAAATAGGAAGACTTTGACAACAGCTCACACATCTGAATACTGTTAAAAAGTGAACCGCACATCGCTTGAAAGTCTACCAAAACAAAGACGTCAATCACTTCTTGGCTTTCCTGGGAAGATGGGAGGTCTGGCCCTGACACTGTCTCACCTGATTCTTCACAGGAGTCACGTAGCCTTTCTCTCTCCAATCCACAGATCTGGGGGCCTCATAAAACAGAGGTTCCTGGAACACTTTCCCCTTCCTGGGTTTACGGTTTTGAAAGCCATTCATCACCTGCCTGAATTCTTCACTGGTCTTCAAGGAAAAGGAAATAAAATGTTGAAAAGCAAGAGATTACTTTAGTAAAGAACTGAGGGGAGGAAGCACAGAGCTCGGCGGTCCACAGCACACTCACCATGTCTCCAAAGGTGTTCATGGCCATTGTGAAGCTGTGTTTCCCTTGGCTGTATTCCTGATTGTGCAGTTCAATCATCTTCATGTTCTTCTCCCACACTGCTCTCCTCCATCCTTCTTCATTCTAGAGGCAAACATGTAACTGATGCTCTTTATTTCTACCTAAAACCCAACTCATGCTCACCAAGTGATTCTGCAGACAGAGACGGAAAAGAAACCATGGCCAGGGAAGGCTTGACACCTCTGGGGATGCTGTTCCCCAAATTGAGACAGAAAAGGGATGAATGCCCATACTGTGCTCATAATCGGTGCCATTAGGTTATTATATTAGGCTATTGGTGAAAGCTGGCCTCTAGAAGCTACTCTCTGTCTAAAACTTCTCAATAGCCAGGACTATTCTTTCTGGGGAAGTTTCAGATACCACTAACCATGCCATATAATCTGTTGTGCATCGCCTTCCACTTGGTCCACTGTGCCTCTAAACTGTGATTAAATGTTAGAGTAGCTGAGGCAATTCCCAGGCAAAGGGCAGCGAGGATGAATGTAGGATTCATGTTTCAAAACCTAGGAAGGGAAAAGAAATGAGGATCTGATTAGACTGATCCTAAAAAGCAATCTTACTGCCCCCTGAAAAATTAGGGCCACCATCGTAGAATAAAAATATTTAAATTATTCTTCCAAGTATTTACCCAAGGACTGTGGAAGAGGCCAAGGATGTGCCTGGAGAAAAACAGGGCACATGGAGGTGCTGGATGGACCCACCAAAATGAAAAGCAGCCTGTCCAGAGCTGTAAGAGTTTAAACAGTTTATGCCATGATAATTTAGGTTATGAGAAAGGTATGAAAGCACTTTGTGGGTGAGAAGCTTAAGGCAACAACTAGGAAACCAGGAAACAGTTGATCCAGGTTTTGTACCAATGGCAAAAAACCCAGGTTTTGTGCCCAGGCAAAACCTCACTAATGATAAGGTGGGATTCCCAAGTAGTGACAAAGAGATCCCCAAGAATTAGGAGGCCTTCACACATCTTCTTGACTAACAAACAGCTGAAGCTGAGATATGTTTTCCAACCTCTCCGTTTTTGTTTTTTTGAGATGGAGTCTTGCTCTGTCGCCCAGGCTGGAGTGCAACGGTGCGATCTGAGCTCACGGCAACCTCCGCTTCCCGGGTTCAAGCCATTCTTCCTCAGCCTCTTGACTAGCTGGGACGACAGACGTGTGCCACCTCGCCCGTCTAATTTCGTATTTTTAGTAGAGATGGGGTTTCACCATGTTGGCCAGGCTGGTCTCGAACTCCTGACCTCAGGTGATCCGCCCACCTCAGCCTTCCAAAGTGCTGGGATTACAGGCCTGAGCCAGCGTACCTGCCCCAGCCTCTCCTTAAATGAAACCCTTCTGAAATGCTTTCCCAGGAAAAACTGGGAAGGACAGCATACACTGCTCCCTCCTTCACTTACCTGGGCCTGTGCTGCCGACACCCCAAATTGCTCCCCTAAATCAGGGACGGGGTCATATGGCCGCACGCGGGAAGCCAGCGCCCCGCAGCCAGCTTCCAGGGCTCCAGGCGTGGCAAGGCCGGGGACGTGACGCCTGCGCCACACACAGGCTGCGGCGGTCAGAGGATGTTTGCGGTGACGCCAGCAGGAGTACCGCTCTCTGGCGTGCGGGGGCTGAGCTTCCCCGTCTGACCCGGCCAGGCCCCGAGGCGGCGCGGCGCGGCCTGGCTGCGGTACCTGTGTCCACCCGGCTCGGAGGCTAGCCTGCCCGCTCAACCAGGGACCCCGCCTGCGTGGTCTCCGCGCTTCCGCGGGGTCCTCAATTGCCCTCCCCCGCTTCCCCACCTGAAGGCCGGCAGAGCTCAGGGCAGACGCTCTCGTTGCCAGGGCTGGTGCACAACTCCTCGACCGCGTCCTCTCTCCCAGTCCCTGTCCGGCCACAGCTGGGCCTGGCCGGCAGCGCTTTCCTGCTGCGGTCGTAGCTGCGCAGGCGCACTCCACGGATGCCGCTCTTGTGGTTGCGGAGGTCGCGGTTCTGGCCCAGCTTCGCCTGACTCTGCCTCTAAAACCTCGGGTCTGGGCTCGGCGGGCACCGCCCCACCGCCTGGCTGCACTACGATTGGCTGCGCCGGCAGCTGGGCGGGGCCTCTGGGTACTCTGACCCCTGGCGCGGTTCGTGGCTTGTTTACTGACTGTCCCAGAGCGGGGCGCGCCTGCCTCAGTGGACTTGGGGGAAGGGGAGCTGGTACCCCGGGGCCGCGCAGAGTAGGGTCGGGCGTCTCCCTGGAGCGCTCGAATCAACTAAGTACCCGACTTACTTCACTGGGCAGGTGGCTCCTGAAAAGACGTTTACAGCAAGCCCAGTATGGACTTTCTGCCTAACCTTGCTTTTCCTTAGTCCTTTTCCTTAGTCCTGGAGTCTTTGGTCTGCATAGCCGAGAGCCCGTGTACTCTAGTCCAGTGGCTCCTGTGTAGTCCACAGCAAAGGTGGGGCCGGGTGGAAGAACGCAGAGCCCGCGGGCAGAAGCCTTATCTCCAACTTAAGGGTGGGTGCAGCTGGGCTTTAGAAGAATCTGGTAGGGAAAGGCGTCCCCAAAACACGAGATGCTATCGTCAAGACCAGACCCTAGGAGGGAGAAGACTGGCTGCGTCTCCGGAGAGCGCGGGCGTTTTGTCAAGTATCCTTTCCAGACTCCTCCATTCAGAGATTCTTCCTTCTCCCACGTCTTTCCCAAAACCAACAGAAAGGAGTTATTTACAGAAACATTTGGTTGACAGGAGAAAAGCAGTTGATAACATTAGAAGCTGCTTTTATTCGCGTCCTCTCTAGGTTATGGATTATATCTTCCTTGGTAACCAAGTCGTTCTCTTGAGATTTAAGAAATTTAATGACATTTAATGTCAGGATTTAAGATACAGAGAATGGAGAAATGTTGTAGATAGAGGAAAAATATGTATCTTAATCTAATGTATATATTTATATAATTAAGGATTTAACGAACAAAGCCCACAAACATTCTAAACTTTTGTCATTTTATTTTTTATTACATAAAAATATTCGTCGTAGAAAATACCTGTCGGGGAAAAAATAATTACCTCTTCCTTTCCCCCCATAACCTTTTCGTATGCATATTTTGACTTTGTTAAAAATAAAGTCATTGTGTATTTCTGTCAGTTGAGTTCTACTGAAGATTAAACTGACAACTCTTTTAGAAGCACAATCACCGATAATTTTTTTTTTTTTTTTTTTTTTTTTTTTTGAGACGGAGGCTCGCTTTGCCGCCCAGGCTGGAGTGCAGTGGCCGGATCTCAGCTCACTGCAAGCTCCGCCTCCGAACCCCCCTCCCGGGTTCACGCCATTCTCCTGCCTCAGCCTCCCAGGCGCCCACCACCTCGCCCGGCTAGTTTTTTGTATTTTGTAGTAGAGACGGGGTTTCACCGTGTTAGCCAGGATGGTCTCGATCTCCTGACCTCGTGATCCCCCCGTCTCGGTCTCCCAAAGTCCTGGGATTACAGGCTTGAGCCACCGCGCCGGCCCGATAATTTTTTAAGTGGTAAAATATACCTAACAAAACAAGTACCATTTTAACCAATTTGGATTCAGAGGCATTGAGCACATTCACGTTGTGTAACCATTACTACTGTTTATCCCCAGAGCTTGTTTATCTTCCTCAACTGAAATTGTATCCATTGAATAATAGTTCCCCATTCCCCTTCTCCTAGCTCAGGTATCCACCATTATATTTCCTGTCTGCAGGAATTTGTTTACTATGTTTGGAGATTATTTCTCTGTCTGTCACTCAGGCTGGAGTGCAGTGGCACCTTCTCAGTTCACTGCAACGTCTGCCTCCTGGGTTCAAGTGATTCTTCTGCCTCAGCCTCCCGAGTAACTGGGACTACAGGTGTGTGCCACCACGCCTGGCTAATTTTTGTATATTTAGTAGAGATGGGGTTTCGCCATTTTGGTCAGACTGGTCTCAAACTCTTGACCTCATGATTCCCCCGCCTGGGCCTCCTAAAGTGCTGGGATTACAGGCATGAGCCACCGCGTCCGGCCAATTATTCCTTTTTTTATGCATTACTTCTCAGTAAAATACAATCTAACTGTGATATCTGCCCTAGTCTCTTTTCTGTTGCTAGTAACAGAGTACCTGGAACTGTGTAATTTATGAGAAACATCATTTATTTCTTACAGTTTTAGAGGCTGGGAAGTCGGAGGTCCAGGGAGTGTATCTTGTGAGGGCCTTCTTGCTTGTGGGGATTGTTTGCAGAGGCCCAAGGTGGCACAGGGCACCATAGGGCGAGGGAGTCGAGTGTCCTAGCTCGGGTCTCTCTTCCTCTTCTTTTAAAGCCATCACTCCTGGCTGGGCGCAGTAGAAGCGCACTTGGTCCTTTGTGATTTCCTTACTGGGAAGTGGGAGAGAAACTGCTCAGATGGCCTCCCCTTCCCCAGATTTGAAAGAGAAAGGGAGAGAGAGTTGTGAGTGAGTGGCTTTGCCCTCCAGCACTTGTTTGGTGAAGAGCCTCAGGGTCTGGACTGTGACCTCCCATCTCTCAGGAACCCCATTCACCACCAGAAGGGGTGGCATGTTCACCCTGTTATTCAGGAAGGAATTGGAAAACAAACATTCAAGAGTGTGAGGTCAAGAGCTAGAAAACCCCTGAGCCAGGGAAGATGCTGGGAGCACCTGCAGGATACTCCCATATTCTGCCCCCTTGGTACTTGTCAGCCTCTGAGAACTGAAGCCAGACCCTTTCTTTGCTTGAGCAGAAGAGCAGACCAAAGAGCTCATTGACTCAAGGAGCATCATGGCAACGGGGCTGTACTTGGAAGGGAAGAATCCAGGGTGTGATCCACAGCCAAGGCCTGAAGAAGTGGGGTCTGTATTTGACCTACCAAGGGTGAGTCATGACCCAAGTGCTGGGTCTCTAGCCATGGGTGGTCCTTCCAACCATTTCCCCTCCTGCACAGGGGCTGGTGTTTTTCTTCATTTCTCATCACCTTCTTGGGAGCACAGGCTTTGACTTCTGCCTTCCCTGGATCAGGGCTCCTGCAATGCAGTTGCTCTAACAGAAACTATTAGCGATGACACAGTACCACAGAAGCAAGCTCCTTGCGAACAGTGATTACTGACGATATTGTCTTCTAGAGACCATTCTAATGACTAGACAGCCTTGGTGCAGGAGCTGTTGTCGGTCATGAGGAGCATTTCCTTGTCTATGTAGAGGAACTGAAACCTATATGGCCAGCAAAATTTACCCAAAGCAATCACTGGGATACTCATCACACCATCATGGCCCATTGTATCACTTTTGTTCCCTATATATGTGGTCCCATTTCCTCAGGACCAGTACTCCCTTATGTGGGGAGCAGGACAGGTGCCGTGAGTTACTTATAGTGACTCATTAGTTGGGGGATTTGCTAGTATTTTCATCAAAGTTGAATCTAGTGAAACATTTGATTGAACTGGCTCCCAAATTCAAAATAAACCAACACCACTCAGGAAACTTATTTACAGCAAGAAGTCAGGAGTGGGAACGTATCTTTCACTGTCACCTTGATTAACAATAGCTCTGACCTGTGGGAGGACGGTCCTATCTCCTGTAACAAACATAGGGTAGTGATGGGCCAGGTCCTGCTGCTCCTACATTCTCTTCACTTAGATAAGCACATGCAGGTGACTGCAAGCCTTGCAGCCTTCATCAGCATCCTCCATTTCTCCCCTGACGGCTCTCATTCATGTTCCACACTGATTCAGAGGTCCAGCCCTGAGTGTCAAAAAGAAACATTTGTAAGCCTTTCTAGAAATCAATCAATCATTCCTGGATTATAGTGAATTCTTCCCTACTAAACACATCTCCAGAAATTTAGACTCGGTAACTCCCTTCCTGAATGTCTTTCCAAGGCCCCAAGTGACACTGATGTTCCATAGACAATGTCTTACACAGCAAAGTGCTTGTGTGGGTGGAAGGCAGCTGACCTTCCCTGAAATCCTGATTGCAGGTTCTGTTTAGAACATGGAGTCTCATTTTGAGAAGCTCTTAGTATTTAGCATTCACAGGAAGTTCACAGGTTCCAGAAAACACTGGATAGCACTCAGGGGAAAAAGAAGGGGCAGAGATGGAGACACCTGGTCAATGTGGCCAGAGCATCCTGGGGGAAATGCTCTGAGGGACAGAGGGGCAAATGCGCGCAGGTGGTGGGGAGAAGAGCAACGCAGATAGCAAAGACACTGTCCAGACAACCTCCCAACTCAGGAGAAGGGACTGAATCCAAGAGGAGAAGAGGAGGGATGAGGCTGGGTGTTGAGGCATGCCCGAAAGTCTGTGAAGTCTATGAAAATCAGACACTTGTAGATTTGATTTTAGTGTCCTGATAGAAAAAGAAAAACAATGCTAGTCATAATTTTTAAAGGCTTTGATATTTTGGGAAATAAGCTTCTCATTTGAGGCTAGATTTAGTTCCTTCCCTCTGAAACATGTTCAATTCATGATTTCTACTTAATTCAGGTTTTCTAGTTTTGTAACAACTTAAGCTGGTTGATCAAGCTTGCAGGCAGGCAGGCAGGAAGGAAAAAAGGAGGGAAAAGAAGGAATGAAGAAAGGAAGGAAGGAAAGAATGAAAGAGAAACAGTAAAAGAAAAAAAAGGAAAGAAGGAAGGAAGAAGACTACAAAAGTCTCAACATGAAGTGTTTCTGCAAGTAAACAAGGAATTGCTTTTGTACCAAGGACTCCAAAGTTGTCTGGACTCCTTAGGCGTCACAAGGCCACTGGCCCTGATGTTTCAGTGAACTGTGAAATAAAGCACTGACCCGCTGCTGTTCCACCATGATGCCTCCAATCTCTGGGCCTCAAGGGAAGATAGTGTTCGTTCATTCTGCAAATACTTATTTAGGATGTACTTGTTGGGTGAGTGGTGAGCGTGATGGTTGACAGGTAGACACAGACAATAATCAAGTACACAAGTAAAGAGTAATTAAGGCCACTTATTTTGGAATTAAATAATTTGGGGTTCAAATCGTAGTTCAGTTTTTTGACAACCATGTCACTTTGGGCAAGACACTTAAATGTGTGGAGCCTCCACTTCTTCACCTGTAAAGGGGAATTAAAAATGTGGGTATTGAGAGGATTGAAGCAGATAGGTTAGGTAGTGCTTAGAAAGCAGTCCCAAGCACACAGCTACTATTCTTCTTACAAAAGTTTTGGAAGGTTAGAGTGCCCCTGAATCATTGAAACACTCTTATGGGAGCCATACCTTAACACACATTACTGAAGATTTTAGATAGAATTGTCAAAAAACACAGAAAAGTAATGAAGAATGTGACAAGCCCTCAAGACCTGGGGAAGGCCAGCCAACTGAAGTCTTAGGACAGAGCAAAGAGGGATGGGTTAGGGATATGGTACCATAAGCATGACCTGGAGCTGTGCCAGCGCCCTATCTCTGGCGAGCTCTTTTCCATGGTTCGATGTAGGGTGAAGGAGCTCCTGGGTCCCTGGGGTTTCTCAGCCAAAACAGCTTCCATCATCATTGCTTTCTCCTCTGTTGTTTCTTGGTTGTTGAGCCCCAAAATGTGTGATGCCTTGAAAGAGGTTAAAAGTGGGCATCATCTCTCCTTAAAATGCAAGCTTAATCGGCAGTGGCCCATCTGGAAGGCTTGTATTTTTCTCCTTCTTCTCGTGCATATTCTCAGAAACATAATAAGCACATCAAGAAACAACTTTCTTGATTTCTAGCAAGAAAAATCACGACTTCCTTGACTTTTAGTGGACTGACCATTGTTGTGTTGTCCTGGAAAAACAGATGTGGAGCAGACAGGAGCAAGCATTTGCCTTCAAGCTTCAGTCTCTATGTCCTGGCCTGTTCATAATTTGATGAAAAAGGCATTGATTTGTTTAAAAATGTAGAATATGTGAATGTTTAATTACCAGATAGAGCAAGTAACCCACCAGCTCTCTGGCTTATAAACAATAATGGCCCGTATCCCCTCCACCTTGTTCCTAGAGCACTAAGACTGTCATTGAGGTGGCTTGGTTTGGAAATTTCCCTTTGAAATTTCCAATGAATAACTTATTGGTGGCTATTTTCAAGGATTTTCAGAGGACCTTAGCCTTTGTCCTTCCAGCAGTTTCATCTGTTATTTTTCAATGATTTTTTAGGTGAAAAACAAATAGAACAAGTAATCATTATGAAAAACGTAGAAAATACAGATAAGCAAGGCAAAAATACCCAAAGACTTACCCAAAATCCCACTGTCCTTGTTGGCCTTGTGAAACCAGTGGTCAGCTGGGAACACGCTGCTCACTTACGTGCCAAGCACCGCATTCGCCTTGTCATGTATTATGGCATTTGATCATCAGGATAACCCTCATCCCCATTTTACAGATGAGTACACTGAGGTTAGAGAGGTTACGGAGCTTGCCTCAGGGCACAGGGCTAGTCAGTGAGGAAGCCAGGATTTGATCTCAGGAGGTGGAACTCCAACAAATGGGAATGCAGTGCTGTAGGGGTGTATGGGACCCTGGTACTGAGGGCGGGCAGTCATTAGGAGAATTGCAGGAGGACCACAGGGAACAGTTTATGCTAAACCTGACCTTCTCTGCAGTTCATAGGAACCGCAACCAAGACACCACACCTCTCCCAAGGGCAGTAGCTGAGAGGTCATTTCCTAGCACACAGTTCCCAATTCTCATCCTCTGCTTCCATTCAAAACTTCCTCAAAAGCACTTCCTGTTTTCTGTGACTCCCACTGAGTTTTGGAGAAATCTTATCTTCTGCCTGGGGTTCTGGAGCAGGTCACAGAGCAGGTGGGGAGTTGTTTGGAGGGGAGAATACTCACAGTCTGACCTCAGTCTCATGCCTGCAGACCTGTGGTGTATATAACACAAGGGGAATGATACTTTCTTGTGCAAATATGATTTTTTTTTCTTGACCTCAGTCTCATGCCTGCAGACCCGTGGTGTATATAACACAAGGGGAATGATACTTTCTTGTGCAAATATGATTTTTTTTTCTTTTTTGTGTTCCCTTTACAAGGACGTCTACCCTATACAGACAGGGATATTGTTTTCTCACAGATGATCAGAATTTTAACAATGGGAATGTGAAGAGAAAAAAGAATCAGTGTTCAGAATTAGACTTTCCCGATAGATTCCCGAGTTCACAGTGATCCAAAAGCCAAGGCTGAAGAGAGAGGAGAAGATTTTCTAAATTCCTGGAGCCAGTCTGAAAACCTCTCTTATGAACCTAGAGGTCCGCGTCATCAAGGAATTAACTGTCCGTAGCTTGGTGGAGTTGGAGAAACAGGCAAGAAGAGTCACCTCCCGAACTGGGAGAGTGACGGGTTTTCTGCAAGAGGCTGAGGGCTGTAGCCTCCTCACACTCACACCTGGGGTGGCTGAACTTGGAGCATGTGGGCTCTGGAATATTTCCACACTCAGGCTTGCATGGAGGGTGGGGAAGCAGGTCAGACAGGTTGGGATGACCAAAGGCAGCAAACACAGACTGCTCAGAAGACCCCAGGACACTTGCACAACCATGGGAGGAAGAATGGCTCCCTGAACAATGAAAGAGACTAGATTTGGGGGAGTGTGATCCAAGTCAAATTTATTTCAAGAAGATTAAAGGAAAATGATAGTTCTGGAAAGCATACTGGAGTAATGAAGCCCAAGAGGAGGGTTACTGCATGGGTGAAACAGAAAGGGGCTAATGAGTTCCCAGAACATGGGAGGAAATGGTCAAGTGTTGATGAAGCCTGGAAAATTCAAGTTTACAACCTCTCCTTAGGCCTACACTGTAATTCCCATGGCCACACTCTCATGTTCGGTTTTATTCAGGCATTAACAAGGACAAAGGTTGACAAACATAGGAAAGGAATGCTAGAGTCTCTTTCATGGTGTGGACATTCTCTTCATCAGCCTCAGGTACTCAGCTTTGGGGTGATACTTCCTGGCTGCTGCTCTTCTTCCCCCACACCTCGTCTTCCTCCTGGCTGATTTCTCTGCATGATTTGCATGGTGGAGTGTTCAGGGAACTTGAGGGAACTACACACTCTATGTACAAACCTCATCCAGGCTGTGCCAGATAGTATTTTAGAATGGTCAGGGCTTAGCGCCCAGGATCACCCATCCAGAGGCTTTGCAAGGGGTAGGCAGACATGGCCCCGAGAGAGTCCATGGCTTGACGAGTTGAGTGCAGGTTGAAATTCAGGCCCCACGGGCCCTCCCTCTAGGCAACTCTGAGCAATCTACAAAGTCTGCATGAGCAGACAGAGAATCTGCTGCTGCACACACACAGAGCTCACCCCTGCTCACTAAGGCTCACCTCCTAGGATGCCTCCTAGGCAGACAGAAGTTAAGGCTGGCTTGCCACACTCACATTCGAGGACCAGGGACCTGCACCTGCCTTTGCTACGCTGACCAGTCTCCCAGGCTGTCACCACTGCCCTTGAAAGAGCTCACACTGCTGATATTCCAACCTCCTTTCTTGCTCTTGCCAAGAGGTGGCAAGAGGGTTCCCTTATTCACCAGACCACTGAAAACCAAACATTTTTTTTATTATAGTAAAAGAGACATAACATAAACTTGGCCATTTGCACAGTTTTTGAGAGCAGCATGAAGTTCATTCGCATTGTCGTGCCACCATCACCACCATCCATTTCCAGAACTTTCTCTTCATCCCAAACTGAAACTTCTAACCCATTCAACATTAAATCTTCATATCCTTTTCTCCTAGCCCCTTCATTTTAAATGGATGAGGATAGTATTTTTGAAATAATAATGTTTATTTCCTGTTGACTTTCTTTTCGACAATCTGCCCTTGATACAGACAGAGGTATCCATTGTCTTGGGAGTAGTTAAGATTGTGAAAGGGGAAATGGAACGAAAAAGAGCCAAATGTTCGGGGTATAGCTTCTATTAATAAAACAACATTTTCGAGACCCTGGCTTTCAGCAAAAAGCCAGGCTTTATAAACAGAGGCAAATGTCCTTCCACATTCCAGCGGGCTGCTGGGAAGCTGGGTGGGCACTCAGGATGGCCTGGCTCCAGGTCACCTGGCCTTGCACCACTGTCTTTAGGAGTGAAAACAGTCCGTGAGCAGCATCATACCTGTGCTAACAAACAGTGGAGCGGGTATCGTGGAGGAGGATTCAAGGCGTCTTTAAAACCTGGAAGACAGAACAAGGGATGAGAAGTACAGGTGGCAAGTGTCAGCTCACGTAGAATTAAAATCTGCTTTTCCAGTGATCCAACTCTGGGATGATTTGAGCAGAGACTGACTGACCCTTGTATTTCATGGCGGGTGATGCTCTGGCTGAACTTCGAGACATCCCATTTCCTCCTGACTCTTGGATCCTATGCCCCTATTTTAAGAGCAACCAGAATTACTGTGCTTCCTAAAGTGTGGCCTCACGCAAGGGCCTTGGGTAAGTTTTAGTGTTCAGGGGATGGAATAAACATGGTCATGAAATATGTCACGAGATGGGTGGGGCCTGAGGGCTTTCCCTGAACTTCTATGCATAGCAAAGAGCAAAGGCTCCTGAGCAAACAAAACACAGAAATAAACCTTTAGAGTCATGTGGCCCATGGTGAACTTTTCACTATTCCAGGGAAATGGAGAAAAATGAGGAGCACTGGGTAATTTTTTTTCCTTTTCCGCTAAGATTAAGTTATTCCATTGAAAGAATGTTAATTATTCTCAGACTATAACCTTCCTACTTTCTCTCTCTCTTTTGTTTCTTTCCTTCCTTGCTGCTCTTTTTTTTTTTTTCCTCCAACAGAGTCTTGCTCTGTCACCCAGGCTGGAGTGCAGTGGCACTATCTCGGCTCATTGCAGCCTCTGTCTCCCGGGCTCAAGCGATTCTCATGCCTCAGCCTCCCCAGTAGCTGGGATTACAGGCGCGTGTCACCACGCCCGGCTAATATTTGTATTTTTAGTAGAGACAGGGTTTCGCCATGTTGGCCAGGCTGGTCTTGAACTCCTGGCCTCAAGTGATCCACCTGCCTCGACCTCCCAAAGTGATGGGATTATGGGCGTGAGCCACCGTGCCTGCCCTTCCTTGCTTCTTTACTGTCTTAATTATTTTCATTTGGAATATTTTTTCTCTATTTATTAATTTCTTTCTTTCCTTCTGTTTCTTTTGGGGTGTTATGACTGGTGACAGCATTGGATAGTTATTGCTGTTTCTGTGTTCTTCACAAAACAAAGTGTCAGAGTGTCAGTCCTCCATGTTCTTTATAAAAGTTTGCTATTTCATAACATTCCCAAAGTGTGGGAACCACTGGCAATAGCAAGTCTTCTCAAGGTTTAAGAGTCAGTTAAGAAAAAAAAAAAAAAAGCAGCCAGGCGTGGTGGCTCATGCCTGTAATCCCAGCACTTCGGGAGACCAAGGTGGGTGGATCATGAGGTCAAGACATAAGACCATCCTGGCCAACATGGTAAAACTCTTTCTCTACTAAAAATACAAAAATTAGCTGGGCGTGGTGGTGTGCGCCTGTAGTGCCTGCTACTCGGGAGGCTGAGGCAGGAGAATCACTTGAACCCGGGAGGCAGAGGTTGCAGTGAGCCGAGATTGTGCCATTGCACTCCAGCCTGGGTGACACAGCAAGACTCCATCTCAAAAAAAAAAAAAAAAAAAGCTACTCTTTATTGGATCTTTATTGGAAATAGCCTTAAGGGGCAGAGAGAAGTAAGATTCCTTTTTATTTCTCATTTTCAAATAAAAAATGAAAATAGTCATTCCAAAGTGACAAGAGAGAATATAATCAAGCCTTTAGTGTACTTTTGCCTGGCTTATGGAGGGATAAGATAAAAATGTCACTGGGTGAAAACAATGAGATAAATTCACAGCTGGGAACATTGTACAATATTGCCAGTGTTGCACATTTGCTCAGTAGCTGGCTGTTCTCCGTGTCAACAGGATGTATGTGGCTTGTTTTGACTCAAGGTCTTCCAGGAGTATGTGTCCAACCACCAAGGTGGGCAACAGAGTTTGGAGGCTGAATCCTTTGATACCTGGAGCGGGATGGCAATGGAACCACACAGAATGGCCCAGAGCACTGAGAAGGCAAAAGGCACCTGCACAGAAATTCAGCCCATAAAGTCAGGCAGAGAAGGACATGGATGACAATTGGATAATGAGTATTGGCATTAACAAGCATTGAAAATAAGTCACTAGACAATTAAACTTACAGTGTCAGAAAATCTTACAGCTTATGTATAATCAAATGAAACTAAACTTGATAGAGTGTTCACCAGATTTGACAATAATCTTTAAAATTTATGTCATTGCCTGTAATGGGTTTGGAGCTCAGAGTTTTCTAAACCAGTAATAACTGTAATTATTGAGTAATTAATCTGTCGTGATGGTGGAAAGAATGAATTTTTTCCCTTCTTGCTAAAAGAGTGAGATTACAGAAGTTGTTATATGTAGGAAAAAATTTGGTAAAAATTATAAAGTGTGTTAGCCATTGATTAATAACATAATGTTTTTCTGGGAGAAAAGAAAACCAGATAGAGTGCAACATAATGCAAAGTTTTGCTCAGCAATTAATGTTTTCTCTTTTTGGATTTTAATTGTCATGTACCGACAGCCAAAAAACCACATATATCGTGTCCAGTCCGAAATACAGGAAAAAATGTGCATAAAGATGTTTAGCCCAGCTTTGTTTTCAATAGGGAATAATGCCTGAGTGTTTCACAGTAGAGAATTGGGATATGACAACATTATTATAGTATCTTGCAGCCATTAAAAGGAATGTTTCTGAAAAGCTTCTAATAACATTGTAAAAAAACTGTGTCATCATCTTCCGTTTAAAAAAAGCAGGGTATAAAATCCAACACTTCATATGATTTCAGCTACATTAAAGCATGTCTAGAAAATACAACCAAAGGGAATAAAAACTTTCATTGCCTTAAATTACCCCAAAGGCAAGGGGCAGCCCGTGACCAGGGAGGGCCAGCCTCAGGACTGAAGTTGCTGACTTGTGCCTACGGTGGCAGCAGCTGCTGGTTTCTCCTTCCATGTTAATCTGGGTCACAGAATCTCGTGATTTACAGAAGCAGCTCTGGCTCATTCTTGGGTGACTGGCCTGCCTTCTTGGAAGACAGGATGATGCTCATCAACACTGGCTGTGACGCAACCTGAGGGCTCTGCAAACCTCCTGTGGGGCACACACTGGGGCAGGGGCCTCAGCATCTGAGTCTCTGCTCTGAGGATGGAGCGGGCAGGATGGGTGAGGCAGAGAGGAAGAAAGTTCTCCGGATGTCCTGGTTAGTCACCCTAATTGTGGGAAATGCACACTCATGGCTGAATCAGCAAGAATCAAGTCTCTTGGCCAGAAAAACAAGCCATTATGGCCTGAGAATCTCTCAGGACACACACACACACACACACCACACACCAAACACACACACACACCACACATCACACATACACACACCACACACACCCCACACCACATACACACATGCACACATACCACACACACCAAACACACACACCACACACAGCCCCACTCACACTACACACACATGCACACACCCCACACATCTCACACACATCACACATACACACACCACACTCACACCACAAACATGCACACACACCACACACACGCACACACCACACACACACCATACCACATGCACACCACACACATGCACACACCACACACACACACCACATGCACACCACACATGCACACACCCCACATACCTCACACACACACATCACACATACACCACACTCACCCCCACACACACCACATACACGCACACACACCACACACACCATACCACACAGACGCGTGCACACACACACCACACATATATGCACATACCAACAAAGACAGACTTACCCCATATATACACACATACACACATGCACAAAACATACACGTGCATATGCACACTATGCTACACATATGCACGACACGCGTACACATACATTAATGTACATGTACACAAGTGCACACACACATGCACAAAATACAGATGCATAATCTGCATATACATGTACACTCATGACACACATCCACACACGTGCACACACATATATACTGCAGTATAATATTCTTAGTAGAATAGTAAGAGGGGCCTCAGTTGTGGTCAGATGACCTGACGCTTAGTCTGCATTGTTAATAATTGAACCGTGTAATTTTGTCTAAATCTTTTCATCTCTGCTTCCAGCTGGCAAAGAGTGTGGTTGACTCAAACCTCCTGGAAGTTCTCTTTAGTGGTAAAGTTCTGTGATTTCAATGGGAAAAGACGGTATCGTCCACCCAGAGCTCACCTGAGCTCCTTCTCTGTACCCTGAGGAGGATCCTGGGGGCTGGAGTCACAGCCCAGGGTGCTTATGAGGCCGTCCTCACCCAACACCAGCCCCAGGAGTGTTGCCACCAGGGATAGCCCAGTGTCTCCAAGGACCTCTGCTGTGAGCATTCCTGTGGCTTCTTCCCTGCCCCTCCTCCTCACACCCACATACTTCTTCCCTCCTTTCGGATCACGAATCTGCCTTGGGAGCAAATAGGCAGGAACCAGCAACCTTCTGAGGCCCAGCGCTTCCAGGAAGAGGTCAGCAGCTGTCTGTCCCAAAGGCATTTCCAGGAGTTCCTTTCTGCTCAGCGGAGGTGGAAGGGGGCTCACTGCTCCTTAACTCTCCCTAGCAGAGGTGTCTCCCTGGTCCACCCTCTCTGGCCGTGGCACTCACTTACGGCAGACAAGCGGCTCCTGTCCTGAGTCAACGTCTGGAAGCCACCAGGCCCTGGGTGGGGAGGATTTGGAGCCTGTCATCAGCATGTGACTTTCGGTTGTGATGCTCAAGTCTGACCTCATCCTCAGGTTGCCACGCAAAGCCCAGCTGTGATCCGGATCGCTGAAGATTGCCCTTGACAGCACATTCCTCAGGCAGCTGTGGAACTGAGCCCTGAGGACTCGGTGAGCCGGGGCTGGGCCCTCACCCTCACACTATTCCTCATGAACAGTTCCGTTTACGTTCTCAGGAATTCATAGTCCTGCAAAGACTGTGGTGCCAGGTCTCACATACGAATTCAAACTAAAAACAAAACCCTCTGCCAAGCAAAGGAGAAAAGAAGTCAAACAAAATGCTCACTGCTTCCCCCTCTGAGAACGTTCCTTTTTTTTTTTTTTTTTTGAAATAATAAATATTAAATTATTTAAAAAGCAATCAATCCCTTTTCCTGTCCCCCTTTTCTGGGGGGCCCTGCTTGGTTGAGCTGTTCTAAATACAATGGGTAGTCTTGTACAATACTCTGGCAGCTTTATTGTTACCTGGACATTTTTAGGTTTCAGCTTTATGTTTTTAGATTTTTTCAAAGAAAACTGTGGTAATATATATAAACACAAAATTTACTACTTTACCCAACTTGAACTGCACAGATCAGTGGCATTAAATATATTCATATTGTTGCGGAATCATCACCACCATCCCCTCCGGAAACTTTCTTCATTTTGCAAAACTGAAACCATCTTTTAATTAATTCATTCATTTATTTTGAGATGGAGTCTCACTCTGCCACCCAGGCTGGAGTGCAATGGAGCAATCTCATCTCACTGCAACCTCTGCCTCCTGGGTTCAAGCGATTCTCCTGCCTCAGCCTCCCGAGTAGCTGGGATTACAGGCGCCCCCCCACCACGCCCGGCTAATTTTTTTTTGTATTTTTAGTACAGACGGGGTTTCATCATGTTGGCCAGACTGGTCTCGAACTCCTGACCTCAAATGATCTGCCTATCTTAGCTTCCCAAAGTGCTGGGACTACAGGCGTGACCCATCACACCTGGCCTCCATCTTTTTATTATTTTTTGAGATGGAATTTTCACTCTCGTTGCCCAGGCTGGAGTGCAGTGGTGCAATCTCAGCTCACTGCAACCTCTGCCTCCTGAGTTCAAATGATTCTCCTGCCTCAGCCTCCCAAGCAGCTGGAATTTCAGGCACACACCACCATGCCTGGCTAATTTGTTTTGCATTTTTAGTAGAGACAGGGGTTCACCATGCTGCCCAGGCTGGTCTCGAACTCCTGACCTCAGGTGATCCACCCACCTCCGCCTCCTAAAGTGCTGGGATTACAGGTGTGAACCACCGCACCTGGCCCCTTTTTGCCCTTAATGAAAGCTTTCCACTTACTTCTAAGCTCAGATCCCTGCACTTCCCTCTTGGTTTTACAGCCCGGCTGTTATCTAGCCGTTGTTTATGCGAGAACAGCCAGGCTGGGCCCCTCACTTTGGAGTGACTTTTCTGTGGTCACTCTATCAGGGCTCAGGAAGACCAGTGTGATCTCTGAACAGCGACAGGACCAAATGTAGTTTTATGATTTTCGTGAATCCTGTAGTTGTCACCCTGACACCTTTCTACAAAAAAGACCAGCAAAATTTCCACTGAGTTCTCATTCCTTTTAGAAGGTGTAGGGGTTTAGATTTTAGAATCCATTGCAACTCCCACAAATGCCTTCAAGCCCACACCATACCGACTTTGGGTCCCTGGGATACTTTTGTCCACAATGGAGACCTCAGGCACCCCAAGGTGGCCCAAGTTTGGACGTGGTATCCAGAGACTGTTACACTATAGTAAAGAGGTGATGAGGAACATGGCGCCTGAGTGCATTTCACAGCAACTCTTAAGAGACAGGATCCCATGATTGGCTTTTCTGACTCCTAGAATTTGCACCTTTTGATTCTCACCATGGACACAAGAGGTAAGCTATGGTCTTGTTTCCTCCCTCCTGCAGGGGAGAGAGCCAGCTACGCAGTGGCCAGTTTCAGCCTGACCAGAGCTCCTGGTACAGAAGACCCCAAACTGCCCCCTGAAGAGTCCCAAGATGGGGCATTTCCCAAGATGGGGCAGTGAGGTGAGTGATCCTTAAGCTCTTGACCTTTGGGTTGCAATGATTCCTGACTGTGGTCCCAACATTTCAGGAGCCTGGGAACCCCACAATCATATGAACAGGTGCTTGTCCTAGGACTTGCATAAAACAAAAGCACTGGCTGGGTATTGTGGCTCAGGCCTGTAATCCTATCACTTCAGCAGGCAGAGGTGGGAGGATGGCTTGAGGCCAGAAGTTTGAGACCAGCCTGGGCAACATAGTGAGGTCATCTCTTAAAAAAAGAAAAAAAAAATTAGCCAGGCATGGTGGTGTGCACCTGTAGTCCTAGCTACTTAGGAGGTTGAGTCGGAAGGACTGCTGGAGCCCTGACTTTGAAGCAACAGTGAGCTATGATCATGTTACTGCACCACAGCCTGGGCCACAGAAGTCAAGCCCTCTCTCTCTCCCTCTCAAAACAAGAAAAGCATTAAGACTTTTACAGTAACTCAAATGTGTTTCCCCAGTATCCTCCCTCACCTTTCTTCTACTAACAGAACCCTGGTCTTGGGGAGAACTGCTCCTCCCCCAACAACTCACTGGGTGATGAGGCCAATCCTAATAACTCTGTCTTTTCCAAATTTGCACAGGGATAGCTATGTGACCCAAGCTAATCCACTAATCCAATCAGAGTCCCACTCTGGGATTTTACATATAGATGCTGCAAGAGACAAATCCCTTCTCTCTGGTTTTTAGCTACCTGCTGCTACAGGAAGCAGCCTTTTGAAGTAGGAGAGAGTGAGGCCAACATTCAGGAAGGAGCTGAGATACGAAAAGGAGTTTCCACTCCTTAAGGTGACCACAATTTCCATTTCAGTCTCATCCTCTGTAGACACAGCTATGTCTAGTTTTAATTTTATTCATCAGAACTTCTTTTCTCATTATAAACATTAATCATGTTTATTGTGGACAACTTGCTTGAAACAAAAATGAACTGAAAATGTAAGAAAGGCATGAAGGTCTTTTTGCTGTAGGTTTTCTCTTCCTCCTGGTGTCATCCCCTTCATTTTTGTGTAGAAGTGGCAGAGCTTCCTCTGTTCCCCATTGCCAAAACTAAAAGAGTCAATTTGGTTTTTTGGTTCACCCAAGAAAAATCTAAGGGGTCTGTTTTATTTACAATGGGAAGAAATGTGAAAATTATCTGGGCTCTTTTCACGTTCCCACACCATTCCAAATTTTGGTAATAATCAGCATCTAAAAAACCCTGAGAGTTTGGGTGTAATGATTTTGTAGGTTTTGGACTGGGTTGTCCTGCTATGTGGGATGACAACAGTAAAAACACAACAAATAAAAAGAAATCCTTTTGAATTAAAGATCAACAAAACGAATGCAACGAGCAACAGTTTATTTATAAAAAAAGAAAAAAACAAACAACTTTTTAACGACATTTTATAGATTAAGTAAAAATACCAGTATTAATATATATGTATATACATAGTGCATATATATATATACATATGATATAACATTAACATTACATGCTTCTCAGGACAGAAGAATTAGGACATGTTCCCTCCTATCAATTTAAAACTCGATCACAATTTAAAATCATGGAAGAAAACTTGCTTCCTTTATTTTCTGCTTTTAGACTTCAAGTACAGGAAGTTATCAAACCAGGATCTAAATGTGGAAACCATCTGCTATGCACCAATTACAAGGGACTGCCACCCACAAATGATGAGTCAGGGGTCTTCTGAATTCTTACATAGGTCTCTGTAACCCTACAACCGTGTCAACCTTCTACCTGAGATGAGAGGGAATGAGGAAGCGTGACAGTTTGTAGGTTTCATGTGGACGTTCACATTGACATTGGAACAAAAGCAAACCGAAAAATGTCTTCCGAGAGCAACAACACTGACCATGAAATCACCCTGGAGGAGGATTCCTTTCTCCCCTTTCCTTGCCAAACAAAACACAGAAACTGTCAGAAAACAAACACAAAACAAAACTCAGGGTGAAGCACCTCTGGCGATGATTAGCATACAGCAAGGGACAGAGAGGTAGCGTTTCCTTGGTGACAGCTCCTGGCTGACTCTGATGATTTCAAACACACCCTCTTCTGCAAAAGGCACTCACATATTGTCTGTTTGTAAGTCATACAGTGGGATTCCATACATGGGAGTTTCTCCTACAAATATAAAAGAGATAAGCTGAGGAAATGGTATAACAAAGAAAAGCGTATAAGAAATACACATTTTGGATAAATATGCACTTTTCTTTTTTGAAGGACAATCAATATAGTAGTTAAAAAAAAGTCATTGAAAAGTTAAGAATTCCAGCAAAATTATCAGTAAGAAGCAAGGTACTGGAGGATGAGAGATGGAGTCTGAAACACTGAGAGGAGGTACACTAGCTTTTTGAGTGGCCAAAGTAAAAGATTTGCTCTGCTCTGAAACTACAATGACCATCCACAGACAATGGAATGAGAGGGGGAGGGAGGTAGCGGCAGAGAAACAGGTCAAGCCGGAGGGAGGAGTGGTATCCCCCTGGCTATGGGCACAGGAAGAAACACCCTCAGCATCTCCAAAGGAAAGGATGGGCTACACCACCCCCTTGCTTCTGCAGTCCAAACAGACCCTGCCCAAGCCAGAGGCTGTCCTCACCGGGACACAACAGAGCTAATGGAATTGTAAGAGGTGCCGCTGTTGCAGCTCGAGGCATAGGCCTCCTGGCCATTGCCATCCAGGTTGATTTTGAACACAGAAGATGCCTTCAGCAAAAAGTCTGCAGCATCCCGGCGACCCAGCTCCCTCAGTTTGGACATGAGGGTGCCCACCGTGCTCTCAGGGTAGGTGGTCCACTCCCGCAGCAGGGCGTGGAGGGGGCTGGGGAGGAAATCCTTGGGAGCCCCGTTATTGGTGTTGTACTTTGCCACGAGGTCAGGGAGGCCCAAGTTCATGGCGAGAAGGCACCAGTCCTTCCCCAGGGGGTCGGGCGGGTCCAGCAGGCGACTCAGTTTCCTCCGAGTGAGGAGGTTCAGGTCTGACGCGTGGATGTCCATGCCGAGGCTGGCCTGCGAGTAGACATCGTGACACCCGAAGCACATGATGCTGCTGAAGCTTTCCTTGTACCCCCCCATGGTGTTGGTCAGTGAGGTTTCCTTCAGAGTCTGTGCCCGGAAGAAGTCCCGTGGCTGGTAGATCATGACAGGCTCATGGTGCTCCCGCAGCTGCTGGGGGCTCAGGTAATGCTTCACGGTCAAGAGCCCCGGCAGCGTGGTGGCCATGACGTTCTCGATGGTGCTGCACACCGAGTCCAGCAGCAGGCAGCACTTGATCTTTTCTGTCTCCAGGCCGCGGACCTGGACCTCAATGCCCTGGCCGTGGTTGACCAGCAGCACCAGCAGCTCGGCCCCACGGTTAGCCAGCTTGCAGCCATTCACCCACAGGCGGATGTCCGCATCGCCCTCCGCGCTTTGCTGGTGGATCCACCGGCACAGGTTCACCTGGACCTTGTGAAAGATGCCACACGGGAAGGGGGTGAGGTGCTCCACGGGCACGATGCGCACGCCGCCATACACCATCACCTCGTCCTCCTCATCGGCC